CAAGTTTCCTGTTTTTTTTTTTGATTTCCGTTTGCGCAAGTTTCTGTTCTTTACATTTTTCAACCGCTTTGAGATGAGTTTATTGGTACGCGTGCTGTTTTAACCTGGTTTCCTTTTCGAATGGAGCAGCACTTTGTAATATGGGGTTTATTAATGCGCCCAATAGTTCGCCTTTATCGCTTTTTTGAATGAAGCGTAGTGTGACATAGTGCTCTGTTTTGCGCTCATATGGTTCCCAAAATGTGTGAGTTGCTTTAGCGCAAAAGCAAGAAGATACGAATGCTAAGAAAACTTGGGGAAGGAGAACAGGGTTTTGATCAGATTTTGGTCTATTGTACAAGAAAGATGCCGGAAAAACATTCTTGCCTGACTAATACTCAGAAAGAGTAGTGCATACAAGTGAATTAGGTTAGAAAGTAGTAGTTTATAATGGAGCTGGGACAATCTGCTTCTCACAGATACTCGGGAGAAGTTTAGACTTTTCAGGCTGAAATTAGGTTTTGCTACACTATTTTATAGACTTGGAGACTGTGCAAAGTTGGTTAGGCTGCAGAAGATCTTGCACCCGGATTGGCGGTCTGCTATTAACAGTTCTGATTCTGATCTCAAGATTGTTACCGACTTTGTGAAAGAGGTATTTTTCACAATCAATTTCATATCTCAGTCTTATCGTATTGCTCATTATGGTTGCCATGCGGCCCATTTTGTTCGAACCTATTAGTTTTCTGAGAGTCCTTCCAGTTTGTTGTGTTGTATACGTTATGCAATTTGGTAAGTCACATTTTCTATGCGATTACGTATTACCTACCCATTTGAGTTACCCGATTCATGTTGGTATAGTAGTGGATAGAACTATCAAAATAGAGTGGTTCATGCAGTGCAAGTTGTCTTCGAACCACGGAAAAGGCTGATTTACAGTGTTTGGCATTGCATAATTGCCTTTAGTTGGTCCTTTCACTAAATTATTCCTTTTATTATAGAACAACAGGTACCGTGACCAGCTGAAAGATCTGAATGCATTCCTCCACAGTGGTACAGTTCTACCTTCAACATCACAGACAGAAACCGACAAACAAGCGAAAAAACCTCGAATTACGCGAAAGGTACGGTATCTGTTCGCCTTCCGCTCTCTATGGAGACCTAATTCAATGGTTTTGTTTGTAGACTACCGTGGATGCTAGCAATATCCAAACTTCTGGTGGTCCTTTGGGTGAACTAAGCGACGAGTATGAAGTGCAGGTATGATGCGTAAATGATGCCCCCGGCACTTTGCTGTGGACATGCATTTCTTTCGCTGTTTTAGTTGGTAAAATCGGAAGGCGAAGCTGCTGAACAAGACCAGTCGGAGGTTCAGCAAGAACGCCGTGGACGCTCTCGACGACAACAGTCGAAGACTAACAAACCTAGATCTGATGACCGTGATAAATGACCATCTTCAGTGTTTTTGATGCTTGTTATAGAATATTATAGTTAGAAAGCTTAGTTGTTTGAGATATTCACGGATCTTTGTTTTTTGTTCTGTTATAAATTTACTGAATGTTATGTCTTCTGACCGTCAGTGTTTAACGCTTAATATTTTCACTTGTTTATGTGTTGCTACCAAATTCTCGTCTGCCATTAAAGACTTGCTATGATTTTGAAATTAGGTGAAGGAATGCCGCGCAAGAATATGTCTATGGTTCGACGAACATCAAATCGAGGTGATAAACCAACACCCTCTGAACATACTCCACTTGTTGGGACAGCTCAACCTCCTTCACCTCCTCCATCGTGAGTCACCATATACAGTTTCCCCTGTGTATTTGTTGTCATCCTTTCTGGATCTGTGCTGCTGTTTTGCGAGTTCTTGCTTTTCCGAATTCTTGCTGTTATCAGAAAAAAGTCAAAAGCTTAGCTTAGAGTTTATGAGTTTTGTGAATGAAATGGTAGAAAGGCAGGCAGACAATTGAAAAAGAGAAACTAGGTGTTGAGCGAGTCATAGAGAGGTACGAAGTCATCAAGGAAATAGTGTGGAAGAAAGAATTGGAATGTCATAGTCGGTCTGTTCTCAGAATTACTCTTCTTTTCCACTAGTAAAGGTTCAGTTGTTAGTTTTTTTCGCACTAATAATGGATCGCTAAAAACCCTGCATTTGAAAGTACACCAGTATAACACTACCTCATATACCCCTACAACAACTTAAGGGAAGTTATTCCTTAAGTTTCATCAGTCAAATTAGAGAGATTTAACTTGTGCGGTAGAAAAAGCGTTGAAAAACCCATGTAAATACGAATGACAAGTTGGTCAGACCTATCCATCCTACATTTAATTTCAGCTCTAACCTTCGCATTATTCGCAGTTACTGATGAGTAAGAGAACCGTCAAACACCCTTTTAGGTCGAGCGGTTCCACAAAATTTCCTTCACCACCTGTAAGTGATATACGCGGTAAGCTTTTCGTCTCACGCGAGGACATGGATTTTGATTGGCGACCAAGCGGAAATGCAGTACTTAAGGTTAGCCTTCCTAAATAGCTTTTTCGTTAATGGGTTTGAATGAGTATTTCTTCATTCAATGTCTATTTGACATCTCGAATTTGTGACCAAACTATTTTTAGTTGCTGTTTTCTTTGAGACTTTCTGCAGCCCTATGGAGCAATATAAGCGATTGCGATGAGGTTCACTTTTTTCTTTCAGTTTTTGATTAATTTATTCATAAGCGGTCGTATTTTAGGTTTACAATTACTGGGAACCGCTACATCTACTCTTGTTTGGGAAGGGACTTCAAACATGGGAGTATTCTCCTGTTTATGCCATCAGGTAATCGGTTTTTTCTGTCATCTCGTTCTCATTCTTATTAATGCTTTATTAGGTCTTATTTCTACATATACCTTCACTACATTCCCGCGAATATTCTCTATCATATATTGCCTTATTCGAAGATTGCTTTATTTGTTACGTTACGATGTTTCATTGGCATATTCACTCTTATGGCTGAGTTTGCACTCTACAATGCAGTTTGTAAACGGTGAGCTCGCAAGTTCATATCGCTCAGGAATTCGCTTTTTTCAACTCGGTTTCGAAGTGTTTTTTTCATTTTGATTTTGCAGTTTGAGTATCAGTATTGGACGGTTTTTTGTAATTTTCTCAATGCTATCTACGGGTATGTTCATTTCAAGGTGTGTGAAAATTAAATAATTCGAGAGCGTCATGTCTCCTATGCTAGTGAATATTTGCTTTTCAATATTCTTCATTGCAGTACTGCCTTTTTGCCCTCTTCCTTCTCCATGGCTATGAACATGTACGCCATGGCAGCGTTCTTGAACGAAAAGTGGTGAGTTTTTTCTCGGGGTTTTTGTTTTTTGCTTCCTATTTGGTCAGTGGTTGCACACAGGTTCTACGCAACTTTTTGTACGGCTATCTCGGCCCTAGTTGGTTGGCCTTTCGCTGCCGTTCTGGGTCTTCCCATTGTTGTTGATATGCTGATTCTACGACCAAAGTATGCATTTTATGTTTCAATTTTCATTTTCTAACTTCTTCAAAATAACAGCCGTTTGCTATATTTTTATTCGGGAATATTCAGCCCAAAGATGTTCTTTCATTATGCTGCTATATCCGGTCTTGTCACTTGTGCTTCTCTTCTAAGCGTTGATTCTTATTACTATGGAAAACGCGTCCTGGTAATTTTTGATTAATTTTTTCTGTGATTCCTCAATTCGAACATTTATCAGTCTCCAATCCTAGGCTCCCCTCAATATCGTTCTCTACAATGTGTTCTCGGAGCACGGTCCAGATCTTTATGGTGTTGAGCCTTTGTCGTATTATCTGAAGAACTTAGTCCTAAATTGGAATATAGCAGCACTAATGGTTCCTTTTGCTATTCCTTTATCGGCTTTGAATTACGTCTATTCGTGGAAGCCATCTGCGGAGCATAAAAAATGGGGAATTCGTGAGTTACAAGGAACAGTTTTTAATTTTGTTTATCGCTTCGGTTGATATCATACCTTGAACTGATTGTCGCTGAAGACTTCAGTTTTAGGGTACAAACAGCTTTCTCATTCAGTCGGCAGATTCAAAAGATCAATTTTTATCGTTCAGCGATCCATCCTTCGTACTGGCGGCACTATTCCTCCGTTTTCTTACTATTTGCATCGCTTTCGGTCTGGTGTATGATATTCTTTAGTCAACCACACAAGGAAGAAAGATTCCTGTTCCCGATTTACCCATTGATAGCTCTTTTTGCTGCAATAACTTTGGATTCTGCGGAGCGGTAGGCTTTGGTCAAAAGGTCGTTTCTACTACTCAGAATTATGTAATCTGCTTCAGTTTGATATCGCGGTTTTTCTCCTCTTCTTCTTCGATACTTTCCTGGTCGATTGCATTGTGTTTCATTCTTGCTTCTTTGTCACGGACTTACGCCCTCCATAGGAACTTCAGCGCTCATATTGAGGTAGAGACTTCGGAGTTTGATTGTGTGAAGTCGCTGATGCTATGCTCTTCATATTCAGGTTTATAAGAGCCTCAATGAGCACTTCATAGATCATCAAAATCATTTGGATTTTTCGAAACGAGGGGTACGGTTTCGTTATGTAAGCAGGTTTTTCACATCTAACCTCGTGCTCCAATTTAGGATCCACTGCGTGTATGTGTTGGAAAAGAATGGTACAGATTCCCTTCATCATTCTTCCTTCCCCAGATGGCTGTTGATTCGCGATCACGGAAGCGTGGTACGTCCCACTTATCCCTATATTCAAGCTTATTAGTATTACTCATTGTCTCCTATTTGAGATGAAATTTCGGATATCAATCACTTGAAAATGTTGCTTTTAGGTGTTCATCTTCATTTCTTGAAAAGCGAGTTTTCGGGTCTCCTGCCGAAGTATTATCCACAAGGGCGATTGCCATTAATTACACGACGTATACCCACAGAAATGAACGATATGAACCAAGAAGAGCCGTCCAGGTCTGTTGCTGCACATTTTTCTTCATTCTGCATCTTCTGTTTGCATTTCCACTTTAAACAGAAGAGGGATGGAAGGACTAGGTGCTTATGGCTCGATGTCATTTAGATATGTTCCGCTCGATACCTGTGACTATGTTGTCGACTTGGAGACACCTCGCCAAATCACCGCAAACGAGCCCAATTATGGTGCAATGGTCAGTTGCTTTCAATTGGACGGTGCATTTTTCATCAGCAGCCGTTTTTTAATGTCTACATTTTTCAGCGCGATACCTTTCAACGTTTATACTCACATCCATTCTTGATAGCATCAGAGTCGCATTGGTTTTACCGTGCCTTCTACATTCCGCGAGTTTCTGTTATGAAGACGACATTCGCAAATTATACACTTTATCAGCGGATTCCTCCGACTGTTAGGACGTGAGCCGTTTAGCGCCAGGAGTAAATTGTCTATTCCGTGAATTAGGAGCTCTAGTTGATAGCTTATTTTTGTAAAACTCGCATCCAATTATTTCATTTTTCATATTGATTATAAATCAAAGCGTTAGTGCGTTAGATCTCCGATTTTTTTTTCATATTGTAATTTTGAGACATTTGACGGAGGCGTTGTACTAACGTTGGTCGTAGGTAGGGCAAAGTGGTAGGAGTTCTTGGTGGTCATCCTTATTCATTGTCATACTCACACTAATATCAAGCTCTTTCGCTTTAAATCTCGAATATCGAAATACTCTTGGGGAATGGCCTGTTTCATAGACATGGCAGCTCTATCTACGCATATATTCCAGATTCGTTGATTTTTTTTATTCGGCACACTACCGGTGTTTCGGTTGTTAAGTATAATAGCGTGTTGGTTTGTTATTTATGCGCATCTTCTTCGTTTACCTCTTTCATTCCCAGTCCAACGGTCGGACTCACCATCCTCATCAACGCATTAGCCAGCCACACCCTAAAAAACATGATTGTGCTCGGTCGTAATCATTTTTTTTACTCTGAGGGTGAAGTGAGCCGAATTTGGTGTGAAGATGATTTGGGAAATTGGGATTAGTTGTTTAGCGAAATTTTTCTTTGCAATTTTGTTACAATATTTGCATCGCTCGTTTTTTTTCGCGTCCTCGTCCCACTGGTTTTGGTTTTTTCTCTAGTCGATAAATTATTGCTCTTTTCTGTGTAACTGTTGTCACTGTTTGTACGGTATCGGTCGACCAGTATTTTGGTTGTATTAAGTAGATAAAAGAAGAATTAGGTCCTCACTATTCAGCGTAGCATGGCGGACGACCATCAAACAAGTGCTGAACCTAATTCAGGCACAGATGGTAATGGCTCTGAAGATTTACCTTTAGAGAAGACCCAAGAAATAGTAAAAGTGAGTCGATTTTTTCACTATTAGGGCTTTGAATGCATGTTTTTTTTTNTTTTTTTTTCCTGTGAAAGATGTTTCTTTAACCATATTAACTGAGTACAAGATCCTCTGCAATTGACGCTTTTTTTATGTTTCGTTGGCCATTTGTGCTCACTATTTCTTCATCTATGCTGCCTTTTCCCCTTATTCCACTTAATGTCTTTAAAGATCTTGTTGTCTTTGCTGTGCTGAAATGCTGTCGCATTTGATACCTTTATGCGGGTGTTCTATTTGCTTTCTTAAAGTGACCATGTGAAAGGCGTGACTTTTCGGGCAAGTCTCTTTGACTGCTAAAAGGAGATGAGGACTGTAGGAGATCAACCGTAATGATGGTACTTTTATGACTCACACTAGGACATAGACTTCCCTATCAATAGTTTTTGGCTTCATTCACGGCTTCGACCTTCATAGTTGTTTATTTTTGTTGTTAAATCTTTCTCTATCAAGGACGTCATGCACAAAGCTGCGCTTCTTGTACGTGCTGCTACCGATCTTCCAAGACGTGGTAATGAGTTCGAACTATGTAATTCATTTAGCGCTTTCACCGCTTTCATGGAGCAGCAGGAAACCAGAATACGTCTGATGTAAGAAGCTTTATTGAAACATACATTTCTCTCAAATATTTCGTAGTTTTCCGAAATTAAGGCTCACAAGTCTTATGCGCAATACCGGTTGTCCAACAAGAATGCCTAAACTGAACTGTGAGGTAGAGGAGTACCTGGAACGCATTGTCATGGTCGACGATCATGTGGTGGAGAGAGCGGTTTGTACTGATTTACCATGAATGACCCAAGAATCGTGGCGCAATAACTCAACCGTTGTATAGGGCATCGTTATGGACGAATTAGATCGTGGCGGCCGTGATGATGTGGAAGTGCCGAAGACCATAATTGGAGCAGAATCTACTAAACGAAAAAGTAATGCTTTTCTTCAACTCCTTGATGCCTGAAGGATTGAAATTGTTGTCTTCCAGAAGCTGAAGCCGAGGCAAGGTTTCAAGAGCGGATACACGCTTCCGATCCTGGCTCTGTTCTCGCGGAACAGTTACGATTGGCTTACGAAGAGCTCAAAGCCGCGAAAGTAGCGGTACGTGGATATTGTTTTTCCACTGTGGCATTTTTTCTTTCAAAACATTTTACCTAACCATTTTTGGAAGTTTCAGAACGTGAAGGTGAAACCTCAAAAAGAATATGGATTTGAGTCATCCATCGATAATTCAACCAATCCGTTCGTTCCCAAGTTAAAAACCAAGCATCATGCCTTACCGAGAAAGGAAACCTCTGGAATGATCATTATCGATGAGCACTCTGCCAATATCGAAAACCACAGGTACGATTTTTTTTTTGCTTCCTCGTCTTGAAGTACCGTCAACTTTTACCTTTCTACTTCTCAGTGATCCGTCATTGAATTACGAGGCAGATGTTCCACATCCGTATCAGCTAGAAATACAAAATTTTGTGGTACCCAGCAGTCAGATGGAATCGAAAGAGCCCATAGTAAGTTTTTTTTTTGTAAGAAAAAAGATCAGACTTTCGGACTGATAATTTTTTACTGCATTCTGCTATCAAGTCTCAGTCCGGAATTTTTGGTGGTCTTTTTAGGCTTTCTTTGAGTGTTGTTGTGTGATTAATTCTTTGATGTGATATGACATCTCAGCAAGCAAGGCCATGAGGCCTTCAATATTCAACCATTCTCCTCTCTATTGTTTTTATTTATTATTTTCTATTTATTATTATTTATTACTTTGATCCTATCTTGTTTATTTTTTCATTCACTTCTCTGATAATAAGTCTTCTTTTGAAATGAGACGACGCTCTTGCACAGGCATCATCAGACATCCAAGAAACCTCTTTGACAATGATCAAAACAAAGGAAGATCTGGAACGGTTGAGAGATGTTTTGAACAGTTGTCGAGAGTTTGCTGTAGATTTGGAGGTATGTTTGTATTCCCATGACACCTGCTAACAGTAGATACGGTCCGATTGCAGCATCACGATTTCCGCAGTTATCTTGGAATAACCTGCCTCATCCAAATTTCCACAAGATCTGAAGACTACATCATCGATCCGTTCCCCTTATGGAACGATTTGCACATTCTCAACGATCCCTTCACCAATCCAGAAATTCTAAAGGTGTTTTATCGCTAATCTTTATTTTTGTTGTCATTATCCAGAAACCAGTAATTCTTGTAGGTATTCCATGGAGGAGAGCACGATATCGAGTGGTTACAAAGAGATTTTGGAATTTATGTGGTAAATATGTTTGATACCGGAAGAGCAATGCGACGGCTCGAAATGCAGAAATTCAATTTGCGTTATCTAGTTCAACATTACTGTGATGTAACGTTGAATAAGAAGTATCAGCTGGCCGATTGGAGAGAACGGTAAGTAGATGGCGTGATATTTGTGGTCATTTGACATCATTTGAGGGGGCACGAACCAAAGGCATCAAGCTCTTTCTTGTAATTTGGAATGCGAAAGTACCAGTTAAGCTTTTAATTGTGTTTTTGTTATGTACCGACTTAATACAGGAGGAACTATCAACCGTTTAGGCACCCTTTTCCCTTCTTGGAAGAGGAATTAGTCGAGAAGAGCTTAAATTTTCGAATGATGACCAGAAATGTTGGGTCCTATCTCAGATTGCATGCCTCTTATTTTCAAATTGCTTCGTTTTGAGTTATTAACAACGCGTACGGCCACAAACATTCCGATCAGTGAAGCCTTTGTTTCAGTCCTTTGGATAGTGATATGATCCACTACGCTCGAAGTGATACACACTACCTATTGTACTGCTATGATCGCCTCAGAGAAGAGCTGATAGAGAAAGGAGATGCTATGCAGAATCTGTTACGGGTTGTCTACTCTGAAAGCGCATTCATTTGTTCAAGGGTTAGTTGCACAATAATCCTTTACTTCCCGACGAGTCTTTCATGATTTTTTTTTATTAGGTATATCAAAAGCCCAGTTTCGATCGAGACGGCTTCCGCGGTCTGGAGCGTCGTCTTCTTAATAATCGCCAAGAAGCTGCTATGCGTGTTCTGTGGCATTGGCGGGATCGTGTTGCCCGGGAAGAGGATGAAAGTGTGCAGTACGTACTTCCAAATCACATGCTGCTCACCATTGCAGAGGTGGGATTCCATCTAACCTGCCCAACTGGCATTTGGTTAAAAAAATGGTTCCTGTGACACCAATACATACTTACAGAGCTTACCTCGAGAGCTTCAAGGGATTCTTCTTTGTTGCAATCCAGTCCCTCCATTGGTCAGAGAGTGCGTCCATGAGCTGCACAAGTATGTTTGCTAGTATTCAGCTTTCAACCCACCTCCCTCCCAAATAAAAAATTCTGTTCAGAATGATATTCAAATGTCGAGACATCCCCCTAATCGAATACAAAAATGATATGACAATTGACTCCTACGAACAGATGCTTCGACAGCGAAATATGAGCGGTCAATTTACAAAGGAGAACGTCTTTATCATGTAGGTTTATACTAGCTTCCTATGTATTTCTAGTGAGTTCCAGTCAAACCTCAGAGTCACTCTTGTTCCAGATGTCCTTTGGATTTCTCACAGACCGAGTTTGACGAAGAAAGTGGCAGTTTGGTCCCGTCATCCAAAGTAGAGGAGAGCTGCCCTGTTATTGAACGTTCCGCGACGCACACGCTATTGTCAGTTTTGGATTCAGCTACAGTACTGGGAAAGGAGGTTGAAGAAGATTATAAGACCTTCAGTGTTGTTGATGAGGTTG